TAAAGTTAAGGGCACAAAGGAAAAGCAACTTCACATATAGTTATCAGATTGGACATTTTGCAGCTAGATTTTGAATGATGCTACAAAATGTCTTTCCTATCTTACACTTTTCAAACACTTAATTGCCATTGGATAAGAGTCGGCACACACTTTGGAGAACCATGAGGTTCATAGTTTAGGAGGCTAAGGGCTGCAAAAGTGTTGGAACCATGGTTGGAAATACATGGCTTTCTTTTTTTTTAAATGTGTTTTTACATTTTTTTAAAATAATGAGGTGCTTATTTGAGGATTTAAGGTACACTTCCCAGGGGTGGGCTGCTGGGGGTTCGTGAGAGCCCCTAGCTATGATTCCGTGCAGTTTGGAGAATCCCCAAATCCCACTCCTGGCTGGCCTTGCCCACCCTGCCCCGCCCCTCCAAGGAGTCCCCATGCGGCCCATTTTGGATGAAGGTAAGTGCAGGGTGCGCACGGAGGCTCGGGGAGGGTGAAAAACAGGCCTCCCGGAAGTTTGGGAAGACCAGAAATGGGCCTGTTTCCAGCTTCCAGAGAGCCTCCGGAGCCCTGGGAGGCCGTTTTCGCCCTCCCGGAGGCTCAAGGAAAGCCTCTGGAGCCCGGGGAGGACAAAAATGGCCCTCTCCTGGTGATGAAGGTGGCCAACTAGGCCATGCCCACCATGGCCATCCAGCAACCAGGCAGAGAATCTGTTGCTAAATTTTTTTGAAGCCCACCCCTGACACTTCCCATACGTTTCCCAATTCAAAAGGATAGGGAAATATGCTTAATATTTAACTATTATGACTGGAAGGGGAACTGCAAGTGTCGTGTAATGCAGGTGGCCTATTACTGCACTAAGATACATATTGGAAATGCAGCTGTTTCATCTAACGGATAATGCCTTCAATGATATTGATTTCAAAATATATTCTGAATATGTAAACATAAGCTATCAAAATATATACAGCATATTTCTGAATGGATTAAGATATAACTTGTAGCCCTTTGGTACAGTAAATAAGTTAGTCCTTTCTGTAGCCTTTTCCAATTACTTTCAGCTGTCTTGAAAATCAACTTTGCATTTTCATACTGTACTAAGAAATTCTAATACAATACAACTTGTGTAACATCAAAATATAAAGTATTCTATTATAAAATTAAAACGAAGCCAAATTATGTTCTGAAATAATTTATACAGAATCTATATGTTAACATTCTCCAAACAATCGAGCACTCACAGGTGTGTGTTCCACAATACTGTAAATTCACATGACTGTTCCATGCACACATTTTAAAAAATAGTCAACCGGCTCAATATTGCTTTAAATATCAAATGGAAAATAATAAAAAACTGAGTTCACAGATTTCAAGTTAGTTCTACATTGATCCAAAGAGATTAGAGCTAGTAAACATTATTGAGACTGAGAAAAGTATCAATAGTTTGTTTAACTACAGTATTTTTGTATATGTCACATCTGCCTGAATTTACAAATATACTAAACCATGTACCAAGAATTATACATAAAAATGGCTAGATTCATATAACATGCTAAGCTAAAATCAAATTCTTTTTAAAAGTAGTGTCTCATTTGACTCTCCTGGGTGGCTAGAATTAGAGCAGAAAACTTTAAAAATGCTCTTAAATTATCTTGGCTAAATTTTAATTTATTTTCATGGCAACAACACTGTTGTCAAATAAGTGATGAGGTTGTAGGGGTAGAAATATTTTTTGCTATTTGGACATCTTGGAAAGAGAGTGGTAGAAGAATTATTTTCTTTTAACCATTTACCCAGCTGAGATTTACTATCCTGTCGTGCTATACTCTTCCCACACAGGCATAGAAAGCCCTCTGCATTTGCCAGAAGAGGTATTGGGATGATTATGGAAGACTTTCCTCCACCCAAATTTATGGTGCCCCCCTGAAAAGTTTACTCTTAGTTATATTTATAATGGCTTAAAGGCTCTGTAAAAACCTAGACATTGACTCTGCTGTGTTAAGATCCTCAAACTTTATTACACAAAATGAGGATGGATGCTCTAATGTTAGAGAACAGATGACAGGAAGGGAGCTTGTGGGATCTTCTGTGTTATCATTAGACTTGTCAAGCAGTCAAAGAGTTATTAGTAGCTTAACAGCATTTTAAAAATGTTGATTAAGTAACTAATAAAACTAAATAGACCTGTATATTACCAAATCTCTGATAACATTGCCTTCTTGAGTTGGTGAAAAGAAGAGTAAATTAACTTGCAGTGGAATAAACAAAGCTACCACTTGCTGTTACAACTATTATATTTAATATATTCTTTTACATTGTTTATTAGATTAAACCACCAGAAGAAACATAGATCTTAAAACATACACAAACGTTTACTGAATTAATTGATAAGATTTGCTGATTCTTAAGCCCTACTGTAGAGAAATATGGACATGTAATAAATTAATGCCTACATAGTTATTTTTAATCAGAGATGGGAACTTGTTTACTTTCCTATTATTATGCTGAAAAGGGCTACTGATATTCCACTCTACTAAGAATGCTGTTCATCACTTGGCAATGTTGTAAGTAATAAGTTGTAAGTAAATCCAGCAAAAGCAGCTTCAGGCATAGCAGCAGCCCCTGAACTTTACAATGAAACAAGCCTACAAGTTGGTTATTCAAGCAAAAGTTCTGTTATCCATAATCAGAACAAGCATTTGCTTAGATTATAAAGAAACATTTATTTGTTGTTGTTGATATGGTCCTTCAAGTTAATCCTGATGTCTGGATTATTACAGAAACAAGTCCATATTGTTTTCTTGGCAACATTTTTCTGAAGTGAAAATTGCCACTGCTTTCCTAGGCTGAGAGAGTGGGGGGGGGGGGGGGGGGCAACTGGCTCAAAGTCACCCAGTTCATGCTTAAGACAGGATTAAAACTCATGGACTCCTGGTTTCTAATCCAACACCTTTAACCAGGTAGCCCTCCCTTAACAAGCACAATTGGGACCAGCAACTTCATCACTAAGTACTGCGCTTGCCAAGCATAAAATAGTATGATCACAATGAACTTATGTCACTTTCATTCAATCATTAAGCAAGTCACCATGATTGTTAAGCAAGACATCACATGACCGCAACTTGCAATTTGACTTCAACATTCTGCATTAATTTTGCGTATGCCAGTTAGGAAGCATGGAAATGATGATCACATGACCATGGGATGCTGCAATCAGAGCTGGGGGGGGGAGGTTTCCTTTGTTGTAACTTTGAATAGTTGCTAAACAAGGCAATTGGAAAGGAAAGACAATCTATACACCAAATTAGCTCTTCCAAAAAGGATGGGCAGATGGCAAAAAACAACAACAACCAGCAGTCACTAGATAGCAGCAAAATATTACAGCATAGCTTTCTGTATCTCTTTGCTGCCATCTAGTGGTTGTCCAACATGCCTGTGCTATCTAATACCTTTGATTCCATCCCATAACAGGTCAATTGACTACCTCTCCAAAATAATGCATCTCCAAGCAATAAAGATCCTTCATACCCTGAAGACATAATGTGCTGCTGTCAGTTCAACATAAGAAAATCATTTTTTAAAGCTCACCCCCCTCCGTTCTGGTAGCTTCCCAGCTTTGACACAACAATTTCTCTCACAACCTTCTTTATTAGGATTCAGCTTCTTGAGCGTCTTTCAGATCTGCCCACAATATCTATGCCCAATTTTCAAAACCGGCTTCTCTTACAAGTTCTAAAAGGTAAGGAAGAAGACCGCAAGGTCCCACTTTTTAGTTGGAGAACATTGGCCGTATAAATATTACTCCTTTTAACAACATTTGAAAATAATTAGAGTGCTGCTATTCGATTTGAGAAAATCAAGGGGCGTTTTTGTACTTTTCTGCTTTACAAGAACTCTGAAATGTGTGTTTTTCTTTAGATGCAGCAGTCCTGCTTGAACTCATTGAAAAGTTTGGAAAATAATAAGGTGTGTATGTGTTTATTTGCCAGTTTCTTTTACACTTGTCAGTTTTTATCATGTTCCAGCTCTCTCTCTTTCAAACAAGAGACTTATTTTCTGATTAAGTTTGACAGTATCCAGCTAGTTGCATAATTATGGCAAGTCTGCTTCCCTCCATTCCTAAGTATTTCTCCCTTAGGTTCTTCCCATGTGATTTCTTCGTTACCTTATTGACATTTCAGAGACGCCCAAATGAAACATGGGAAAAAGGGCAAACCAACCATCCTTTGCCATTCCTGCCCCAGAGCTTGACTGACAGGTGTTTCCCCCCTTGATGATGACATGCTGAAAAGGGACGGCAACAAAGGCAGAAGAGAAAACACATCACCTGATCCATAAGGAATAATAGTGCACTTACAAATCAGGACAATGCAGTGACTTGCAGCAGACACTAAAAGAAAAAAAAAAAAAAGCAGAAAGATTGGAACTGGGACAGCAAAGTTAGAGTACCAGAATGGTTCCATTACTGACTCAAGGATGGGCAGATATCCATTGAACTGAGTACTGAGGAAAGGCCCTGAGTATCTTAGAGAAATAATACATCAACAATATTGAACACAATACATCAACACTATTGATTTGATAGAAGACGCGAGTAAGCTTTTCAAGGTCACACAAGAACCAATACAGCTTTTGCCATCTATTTGGGTTTCTTTGAATGCACATGCAGTCTTCCTAGTCCTCCACAGATAAATATCTTGACAGTTAAAATATATTAAATATTAAGTGAAATTTTGTAAGTGCTGAATTTTAGTGATTTCACAATCTACAATAGCTCCATGTAATGCATAGCAGTCAAACCACAAATGTTACAGATAACAGATCATCAGAGTTAGAAGGGGCCTTGTAGGTCATCTAGTCCAACCCCCCGCCCAAGCGGGAGACCCTACACCATTTCTGACAACTGGCAGTCCAATCTCTTCTTGAAAGTCTCAAGTGATGACGTTCCCACAACTTCCGAGGGCAAGCTGTTCCATTGGTTGATTGTTCTCACTGTCAGAAAGTTTCTCCTTATTTCCAGGTTAAATCTCTCCTTGTTCAGTTTCCATCCATTATTCCTTGTCCAGCCTAGATCAGAAGTCATCAAAACTCTTCAGTGCATAGACTCCCTTCATAAAGTTTCAGCTTGTTCTTTAACCCTCAAATACTTCCTACATGAAAATAATTTAATAAATATTTCTTTAACTAATAGTACCATGAATACCAATGATGACAATAAATAGCTACATCAACCCTTGGTGGTTGGTACTGACCACTTTGGAGAATCCTGCCCTCAGTTAGACCACAAGCAGGAACAATCCAACATAAACTCTGAAACAGATGTCATCCTAAACGAGTATTCTGCTACTTCCGAAGAATAAGATCCCTTCCTGAGTTTATCTGGTATAGATACTTTCTGGGAAACATTAGCATTCTAACTGCCCTTTTACTGTGTCCAAACCCTCAACCAAATAATGTCCTATCTACCAAGGCTACTACTTCACTTTGCAGGCTCGATTATAACGCATTTTATCCTGCTGCTAACCAGCTAAGACCAAGAAGTAATCAAATTGCATAGCTAAACAAAATCACGTCTAGCAGTTCTCAGAGAAGAACGGTTACTGCAGAAACTTCAGCCACAGATGCGTAAAGCTTATACATTTAAGTAAGCATGCAAAGAACTGTAATCTTACTTTCTGATGCAGCATCACATAGATTCACACCGTTTTTGGCATCACCGTGGTTTAAAAAAATGTCATTTCACTTTTTAGAATTTCCAATGGTTCTTTTCTATCTGGGGTCAATATTATTTGGGTCAATACTTGTCAGCATGTACCTGAAGTCGCAAAGGAATATTCTGCAGAAATATGATCAACCACAGCAACATCTGGAGAAAGGAGTGCCTATAAAGTCACAAGGACATCTCAAGCACCCAAAGCCTGCAGGGCACATGAAAACCAGGTGCCTGGCTTTAACTGCACTTCCACAGAGACTCTTGAACAAGTAAGAAGTTGTTATACAAAAAGGCAGGTTTGCCTACAACTGCTCATGATATGGACATATAGATCCCTAGAAGTATCCATGCTTGCACAATAACATAATATTTGTAAATGGTTTCTTATTCTTAAAGCTTCTTAAAGACTTAATGCAACTAAACCTCCTGGCAGCAATTAAGATATTGAGGTGTACTATGTTTCCACATGGTTATGGACCACAATTTAACAAAATGCATCAGCAGCACCTCCCATCTTCCTTCCCACCCAGCCCAGTGCTCCTGTGCTTGCTTATATTTCTATTCATTCACTTCTATTCCATTTCTATTAATTGAACATTAGAATGCTGTATTTCAATATTTTAAAGATGCTTATTTACATAATTCACCACAAGGTGGCAATATTACCACTCTGTATAAATGAATTTTATTTGCAATTGTCAATACGTTTTTAACAAACCAAAACTAGAATTTTCCATAAATTAATAAGTCATAAATTAAATATTTTTACTTATATCTGCATCAAAGAAAATCAGAAATCATTTTTTTTCTATTTTTCTTTTTCTGTGAAGGATAGCGTTCATCTAAAGGCTTTTGGTACTGGTTGCTAGAAATCTGCCCTTGTTCTGTGACTGCTGAATTCTCACCAGAACTGTCTTTACAAGATCCATTTAGAAGGAAGTTAAGACATCTTTCTTGATTCAAGCACCAAAGGCAGCTTCCCAACTGATGCTACAATGTTTGAGTTAGATGCATTTCATCCTAACACTGATACCTTTAGGAAAGCACACAGGACCAACTCTGAGGGCTTCACATTTGGGGAGGTAGCAAAATCTTGTACATTTCTTAATGGACAAATGTTTAACAAACATGAGCTTGAGTTACCCACAGTAAAAGTGCCTAGAATTTATTTATTTATTTATTGCATTCACAAAGATTATCTTCACTTCTGAAATATAAAATGTCTTTGCATAATTATACATGAAGCATTGCTGAAGGATTTTATAAATGTGAAATATCTCCATGGCCACCTTTTTAATCAATTAGTAGTTAATTTACAGAAATTAACCAGTTAATTTATTATTGTTCAATGACTAGCTTTAGTTTTTTTTAATCTTTCTGGAACAAAATATACCTTTAAAAATGAAATCCAATAAAGCTTGATCTAATAGCACTGTTTGTAAAATTCCCATATTTATTTATTAGAAAATTTATATTGGCACCTATTTGCACATGGCGACTCAAGGTGGCTTATAGGGATAACTACAAGTTTAATCATGCTAACATGGAAGTACAATGGGTATATAAAGTCTGCACATACCTGTTAAAATGCCAGGTTTTAGAGATTGTTAAAAAAGCAGACATAAATCATTTCAGATGTATGGAAATTCCTCCAGTTTTCTTTTCAAATTTACAGATGTTAATTTTAGACAGCTCAAAATCTGTAGGCTTGTTTTTACAAATGGTCAGTCATTAGTCATTTAGCAATAAGCGATGCAAGAATGCTGAAGAGGATTTTCATTTGTCTTGGCTACACAGGTAATCCCTGGGTTACAAGCATTCCCTTAGCGAACATTCGAACTTATGCGATAAGTGCCCTCTAGCATTTATGAACAAAGCCCGAAACAACAAATCTTGACAGTTGTTTGCCCTTACGAACAATTGCAGAGGCTCTGCAACATTTGTCCTGCATGTTGTTGGCCAAATGGAGCTTCTAAGGGGTGGATCTGCCCCTCAGAAGTTCCATTCTGCCCTCTGTGAGTCTCCCCCAGTCCACTGCAAGCCAAGATGGAGCTTCCGGGAGGCAGAGACTCCATTTTGGCCTGCAATTGATTTGGTGAGGCCTATGGAGGGCCAAACTGAGAGTCAGAGGACCAGATTTGCCCCTCAGAAGCTCCATTTTGGCCAACAATCTACCAGACGAGGCCTGCAGAGGCCCAAACAGAACTACAGAGGGACATGTGCAGCTGAGAGGCTAGAGAGGAAACTGCTTGCTAGATCTTCATAAGGTAAGTGACTCAGCGTGGCAGGTTGGGAGAGGGAAGCAATTTGGGGAGAATTAAGTATTTCAGAGGATTGGGGAGGTCTTGGGTGGTCTTAGGCAGATTGCCTGTTCCATCAGTAGGCCCCCATGGCCTTCACCTCCCTGAAATACTTCAATGAGTTTCACGCTTGATTAGCGAATGTGTGGGTGAAAAGAGGGAGTGATCCTGTTCACGGTATGAGATTCACTCCCACGATTCCTCACATTATGAATGGAATGGGCAGGCTCCATTACCTTTATAACTCGAGGGCTATCTGTACAATAAAATGCCACATATTTTTAATCATATCCTTATATCATATCCTTATTTTTGGGAAATAAATAAACCCAAGAATATCCCAGAAATAGATATACATCCATTTCATCCATGTTTTTAAAAATAGCACTGTATTCTAATATGGAATATTTTATTTTCACTATCCCAACTTCAATATTCTTCAATCAGTAAGGCACAGACATACCTGTATTTCATTAAGAATACTGACTGAAAAATGTTCTCTTATTTGTTATTCATGCAGTTTGCCCTTCATTCAAATTTTGCTTGAAGCAGTAAAGGGACATAACTGAATGTTTGAATTGTGATGATGATGTGTTGAGGTAGATTCTCAGTCATGACGACAGTGATGATTTGCCAACAAACTGGTGATGACCCTTAATGACTACATGCAACTGCCTACAATGGATAAGTACCCAATTAAGAAAGAAGGAAAAAAATGATCTTAAAAAATGAGTACATGATCAATATACAGAAAAATTACACTCCACTGCACAGGTGCCTCCCATCATGAGATTATCTTGTACACAGGATCCCCTACTTCAAATATTCCCGTTTCGTCAACTCCATATAGCCATCCAAAAGGAGGATTAGACTTATAGTCATGTTCTTCAGAAGGATTACACTTGCGATAACTGAAAATAAAGTAAAGAAATGGAAAAACAGAATTAGAAATTATTTTGGAATAAAATAGATCCTATACATTCCGGGATATAGACGAATAGTGAACTTCAAATTTGCAGCATTGGAGATAATGGATATTTATCAACAGTGATTATGATAGCACAATCGTCTATTAGAATGGAATGTTTTCAAGCAACGTATTGTCATGGTTTATAGCATTGGTCGCCAAAAAATTTTGGTGGTCCTCAGAGAAATATCACCCCCAAAGCAATTAGTCTAGGCTGCATGGGAACACAAGGCTGTGCCGCCCACATGGCCCGTGGGAAAACAAGGCTTGCATTGCTTGCATTGTGAACAAGACAAGGTAGTGAGGGGAGGTGGGAAAGGGCAGAGGTGGGGAGCTTGTCCCACGTGTCCCACGTGCCTCACCTGGCCACTTCTTTTTTCTGCTTTTGGCTGCATGTAAGGAAAGCAGCAAAAGACTTTCTTTCTCTTCCCCAAACTCCACCAGAAATGAGTCTTTGGGACCCTGCAAGGCATCCTGCTCCAAGAAGCTGCGCCAGTGTAACAAGTCTCACAAAGACTCATTTCTGGTGGAGTTTGGGGGAAGAGAAATAAAGACTTCTGCTTTCCTTGCATGAAGCCAAAAGTCTCTCTCTGTCTCTCCCCCTCAGAATGGAGCTGGAGATGGTATTCTGCGATCCCAAATAAAGAATGATCCATTGGTAGGAAAATGGGGTGGGGAATTTTCCTGCACTTTTTTTGGGATTTTCCCAGGGTCTCTGGTCCTTGGGATTTAAAATTATGACTTTGGTGGTCCCTGAGGTCCAAAAGGTTGGTGACCCCTGGTTTATAGAGGCATTAGTGTCACAGCCCCCTGGATGCGCGAAGCCGTCAAACGCTGACCGTAACTGAGAGCAGACCCTCCGACGACAGGCCCACGCGACAGGCCGGCTGGAGTACTTAAATGCCGCATCAACATGGTGGAAACGCCCACTACAAAACACACATCCAATGCTACCGCATTCGGGGGAACCGACGAGCGCAGGAGACCATTGGCCTGCGCCAAAAATCAACGAAATGGTCCACGCGGAAAGCACGGCGCACCTGCACCGTGTGAGAAAGCTATGGCGGCTGCGTCCGGGTCCGATGCGCACGGAGACTACCCGATCCGTGTGAAAAAATGCAAGCGGGGAACAGAGGACTGCCAGACGCTCAAGGTGGCCACCTGGAACGTGGATTCGCTGACTGGACGCTCGACCGAGATCGTCAGGGCCATGCGGGACAGGAAGCTGGACATCTGCTGCCTCCAGGAAACTCGCTGGAAGGGCAACAAGGCTACGACTATAGACGGTTACAAGATCATATACACCAGCTGTAAGGAAAACCACGGCGGTGTAGCTGTGGTTGTCAGTCCAAGCTGGCAAAGTTCCGTCGCAGAAGTTAAGCGCCTCACAGAACGGCTGATGATAATCGTCGTAGCGACCGAGAGGCAGCGCCTACACATCTTGTCCGCCTACGCCCCTCAGACCGGATGTCACGAGGAGGAGAAGGATACCTTCTGGGAACTGCTCGACATCCAACTCAGGCAGATCCCACACGAAGATGACATCATCATCTCTGGCGACCTGAATGGTCATGTAGGGCGGGACAAAAACGGACACCAGTGCCACGGTGGGCACGGCACAGGCGATACGAATGAAAATGGCCTGAGGATCCTGGACTTTGCCGACTCCCATGATATGACCATCACGAATACCTGCTTCATTAGGCGAGAATCTCAACTCCTCACCTACCATAGCAGAAACGGGAGCCACCACACACAGATCAACTACATTATCGTACGACGAAGAGCCGCTAAAAACGTGCTCAACGCCAAGGTGTACCCGTACGAATCGAGCAGTCAGCACAGGCCGCTGATGGCGAAGATCAGGATCAGCAAGCCCAAGACCAAGATTGACAAAAGGAATGCAGACCAGCCACGAATCAAGTGGTGGAACCAGAAGAAGATGGCGGGACCCCTCATCAAACCGGAGCAGTTCCTGCAGATGGTCGACGGGCCACAGGAAGCGTGGTCCATGCTGAAGAACACTGTTCACACTGCCGGCTGCCAACAGCTTGGTTGCACCAAGCCAGGACGGAGACGCATCGAACGAGATACATGGCTCTGGACACCGGAAGTACAAGATGCCGTACACCTGAAGAAACGGCTCTACAAGGCCTTTCTCCAGGACAAGACCAGCGAGAAGCTCTGCGAATACAAGGCGGCCAAAAAGGCAGCCAAGAAAGCAGTAGCGACAGCCAGAAGCTCTCACTACGATGACATCTACGAGAAGCTGAACACGCGAGAAGGCGAGAATGAGATCTACTGCCTAGCCAAAAGTAGACACAGGAAGACCCTGGACATTGACCAGTTTCATGGGATCAACGACGAAAGGGGAAATTTGATCGTCAACCCCAGAGACGCTGCCGAGAGGTGGCGGCAATACTTCGAGAAGATCTCCACCGAGGAGTTCCCACACCCACGAACCCCGCGAGGTGACCCAGTTGAAGGCCCAGTCTCAGGCATTTATGCCAGTGAGGTCACCGACGCCATCAAGGCCATGAAAAACGGTAAGGCAACAGGACCAGACGACATCCCTGCCGACTTCTGGAAAAAGGCACTACCGGGCTCGGCATTGTGGCTGTGCGAGCTGTTCAACAACATCGTCTCCACGGGAAAAGTGCCACACGACTGGTACCGCAGTACCACTGTTCCGATCTGGAAGGGAAAGGGCAGCCCAGCGGACTGCTCCAACTACAGACCGGTCAGGTTACTGTCACACACTATGAAGATCTTCGAACGCGTCCTTGATAAGCGCATTCGGGACATCGTCGACATCAGCGTCAACCAGGCCGGTTTCATCAAGAACTGCGGCACCACCGACGCCATCTTCGGTGTGCGGATGCTGATGGAGGCTCACAGAGAGAAGAAAATCCCGCTCCACACCGCCTTCCTGGACTTGGAAAAGGCCTTCGACCGAGTCCCGCACGATCTCATCTGGTATGCACTGCGAGATCACGGCGTGCCTGAGCTGCTCGTACAATGGGTCCAACTCCTATACAGATGTCACAAAAGCCGTGTAAAAGCGGCAGCTGGGACATCAGAGGAGTTTAATATCACCGTCGGCGTACACCAGGGCTCTGCTCTCTCACCACTGCTGTTCATTCTGGTGATGGACACAATTATACACGACCTGTACACGCCCGCCCCATGGACGCTGCTCTACGCCGATGATGTGTTCCTGGCCAACCTGTGCAAGGCTGAACTCGAGCACCTAGTCCAACAGTGGCACGACCGCCTCGAGCAGTTCGGGCTCCGGCTGAATTTAAAGAAGTCCGAATACCTAACCACTGACAATGAATTGACAGGCTCCATCCACGTGAACGGGCAGGAGCTACCGCGCGTCTCCACCTTCAAGTACCTGGGAACTACTCTTGGGGAAGAAGGCCTACTACAAACTGAGGTGGCAGCCAGGATCAACGCAGCGTGCGGCAAATGGAAGTCCGTCATGGGCGTCCTCTGTGACAAGAAGATGCCGGTGCGCCTGAAGGCGAAAATCTATAACTCTGTGGTGCGCCCCGTGGCCATATACAGCGCAGAGTGCTGGCCGACGACCAAAGAAGTCGAAAGCAGACTCCAGATAATGGAGATGCGAATGCTCCGATGGTCGGTAGGCCTCACCCTACTCGACCGCGTCAGGCACGAAGAAGTGCGTAGACGGTTCAACGTCGTGCCCATCCCCACGGTCATGAGGCAGTCCCGGCTACGATGGTTCGGCCACGTGAGCCGCGCCAAGGAAGAATCCATCATCAAATCTGCAATGAAGGTGATTGTCGGAGGAGCGAGACCGCGTGGTAGACCTAAGCAACGCTGGATGGACACGATCAAGGCCGATCTAGAGATCGCGAAGGCAGACCCGACATACGTGGTAGACAGAGAGGTGTGGAAGCAGTACTTAAGGACATTAGCGGACCTCGCCAGAGCGCGAGACAAACGCTGAAGAAAAAGAAGAAGAAGAAGAAGTGTCACAGCCATATAAAATGGAATTAAGCTAGAGACATTGCACAGAGGAAGCAGTTACTTAGTTTCTCTAAGTAAAACTGGATTTACAGTTTTGCATAAATTATTAGAAATATTGGAGCTTTAATTGCCTGCTCAGAATTATAAGTCTAATAGATGCAGAAGCTCTTCAAAATCATCAAGAGAAGAAGACAAGGAACTACGGTAGTAAAGGAAATGAAGAAAAAAGTTCCAGTGGTTTCAGTTAATTAATAGAATAAAGTATTTCAAATTATAATAAATGGGGAATTGCTTTGAAGAAACTAATTTAATTTACTTATGAAAACTTGGATCTTGACAAATTTACTGATTTAAATGTATACCATGTGGATCTGTCTGCCTAACATTGTATGTGTGAGCTACAAAAGATTTATTGGAAAGAGAGCTTAAAGTGCTAAAGTATTTGAAGATGTTAAAACAGCAAGAACGTTCCTTATCATATATGTGGTGCTGGTTTCTGTTTGTAAATTACTACTTCATGCTGAGTAACATTGTGAACTGGTACAGAGACATCCAAACATTTATAAGAAGGAGCATTCATAAACATTATCTGCTACCTTTTCAGGGCTTTTAGGACTTCCTTTTCACCCATGGTCCCAGTATCTGGATCCACTGCTGTGAAAATGCACCTACAGACATATGGTGGTACATTTTAATTTCATTTAACAATAGGAATATCTTTAAAAATGAAATTATTTGTTTTGTGTGGGAACATGAGATCAAAATACCATCATTCAAATCTCTTACCTTGGACATGACATTTTTCCTTTCAACTTAACAGTTCCAATTAATATGTCAACCCAAGAATCCTATAGCAAAGAAATTGAGTCCCATTAGATATTTTGTAATTGCATTATTTGACTATTTTCCAATAACATATGTCAGTTAAAGAGCAACATTTCTGCATGGTTTTCTTTATAGTCCAGTATACTCACAAGATCATATTTAAAAATCTATTAAGTTTAACATCTCAATAAAACTCTTTTGAGGCATATCTGCAATAACATAAATTAGAACTCAGATGGGGAAAAATAGCAATGCAAACACCTAGTTAAGATAGACCTGTAAGAACAAGTTTGAGCTAGTAGTTATTACACTGGGCTTGAAAGCTGGAGACTGTGAGTTCAAATCCTGCCTTAGCCATGAAAGCCAGTGGGTGACTTTGGGGCAGTCATTTTCTCTCAACACAATCCATTTTAAAGAGCTGTTGTTGTCAATAAAATAGGAGGAGGAAGTGTGTTGGATATGTTCACCGCTTTGTTTATAAAAATTATAAAGACTCGATACAAATAAATAGAATAAAATAATAATAATACTTACTTCTTCGTAAGGACTACAGTCTTTAATAACAATGTTTGGCCGGAAGATAGTTATTGAAGCTTTCTTTTCTAACCTTGTATTTAGATCATCCAAGGAAGCTTCAGAAATCAGCAAGAGTGGACTGCCTTCAGCATAGGCAACCTTTAAAAATAAATACAAAAAACGTCTACAATTTATAATCATAAAGATTCGGATTTGTCTCAAAGTGCCACCATTGGTTGACAAAATGCAAAATGCAATCTTCAGTTGTGACCATTTCATTCCAAAGAACTTACTGCAATTTAATAAAACTACACTTTAATTTCATAAAATGCTTTTAATTAAAACATGACATATCTACTTCATATTTTAATTGTGAACATACATAGATTGCACTAAGCCATAATATATTTAATTATGAACACTGTTGAACACTGAAATCCTAACTGATAGGTTTCACATAAATTGCTAAATCATAAATCATAGTTTGCACACACATGAAGTATTGCTTCATGAAATCTCATGAGGTGATATTTATTTATGTATTTATGTATTTATTTAGTAGTAACATATTACCCATTTATTATTAGAAGTTTAAAAAATGCTTGCAAAGGGAAATAACTAAAGATATTTTCTAATCATGGTTATCAGCTAGGTGTACTTAAAGTAGAAATGAAAATTAGAAGCTTAAAATCAATAGGATGTGAAATAGGTTTTTTTCTGCTTTCAATGTTCCAATTCATATCAATTCTTCAATCCTTCTTCATCATGAAAATAATCCCTTTGCTATACTATCTTCCTGGCTGAATTAGTAAAACATGTTTACCATCATAATGAAATAAGTCAAAACCATATCTTTTAAAAAGCTTATATTTTGGCTGTTGCTTAGTATGGAATAATGTGAGGATAAGACCACTTCCTCCAGACCTTGCAATTTTAGAATGAAATCTCAATGAAGTATTTTATATTAAGAAATTTTCTTCCAATTAGGAAGAATAATATGAATCATTTAATTTCTGTGGCTTAACTTTATACATTTGGTGCTTAAGTCATCACTTAAGTCTTATTAAAACTCAAATATATAAGAATCTATTCTGTTAGCAACATGCATGATAATTCAGTGAATTAATTCCCGAGTTCTTCTACATATGCTGAAGAAAATAGTTAAAAGATATATAATATTTATTAAGAAGTCTCAATAAACAGGGACAATGAAGAGGAACAATCTTGGCTCCATTTCTCTTCCTTGATTACATTTTTTTAGTACAAAGAGGGTATAAATTCTGCAGATATAAGTTTTTCTCTGATTATACTTATGTTTTGTAATACATAAAGAAAGAGGTGTAATAATCCCAATACATTTATTTTTATTTTATTTTATTTATTTGTCAATTGTTTACGAGATAATAAGTAAAAGTGTATACATAATTATGAATACATGAAATGAGTACATATAAGAAAAATAAAAGAAAAATAAAAGAAACAATAGGACAGGGACGGTAGGCACGTTGGTGCGCTTATGCACGCCCCCTACAGACCTCTTAGGAAAGGGGTGAGGTCAATAGTAGACAGTCTAAGGTTAAAGTTTTTGGGGTTTGGGGAAGAAACTACAGAGTCGGGTAGAGTATTCCAGACATTGACCACTCTGTTGCTAAAGTCGTATTTCCTGCAGTCAAGCTTGGTGCGGTTAACCTTGAGTTTGTATCTGTTGTGTGTTCTTGTGTTGTTATGGTTGAAGCTGAAGTATTCATTGACAGGTAGGACATTGCAATGTATGATTTTATATACCATGCTTAAATCAGACCGAAGACGGCGTAATTCAAGGTTTTCTAGTTCTAGAATTTCAAGTCTGGTGGCATAAGGTATTCTACAACGAGTAGAGGAGTGGAGAACTCTTCTTGTGAAATATTTCTGGACTTTCTCAATTGTGCTAATATCAGATACGTAATGTGGGTTCCAGACTGATGAGCTGTATTCGAGTATTGGTCTAGCAAATGTTTTGTATGCTCTAGTTAGTAGTGTGATATTACCAGAGAAAAAGCTACGTAAGATTAGGTTAACAACTCTTAATGCCTTTTTGGCTATGTAGTTGCAGTGGGCACTAGCACTTAGATCATTAGAGGTGAGTATTCCAAGGTCCTTTACAGAGCTTGGATCATCAACAAGATCTTGACTATTCAGCTTGTATTTTATTTTCGGATTTTTTTTGCCAATATGTAAGACAGAGCATTTATTTGTTGAGATTTGAAGTTGCCATTTGTTTGACCATTCTGATACATAGTCAAGATCTTTTTGAAGGGTAGCAGTATTGTCTGTGGTATTGAACAGCTTTACATCATCAGCGAAAAGAACGCAGTTGCTCTTAATATGATCACAGAGGTCATTTATGTAGAGTATGAAGAGAGTTGGTCCTAGAACACTGCCTTGGGGGACACCACTATTGACAGGTACAGAATTTGATAGGACACTCCCAATTTTGACCATTTGTTGTCTGTTTGACAGGAATGCTTCTATCCAGTTATGCAGTTGTCCAGAGATACCATAGGATTTTATTTTTAGTAGTAGTTTGTCATGTACCACTGAATCAAAGGCTTTACAGAAGTCTATGTAGATTGCATCTATTGTTTTGCCCTGATCAAGTTGTGTAGTCCATATGTTTTTGCAGTGTAAGAGTTGCAGATTACAGGATAGCTTTTTTCTGAAACCAAATTGTTTATTGGAGAGTAGGTTGTTTGTCTCTAAGTGGAGGATGATGGATTGGTTAATAATTGATTCCATGACTTTACAGGTGACGCAGCATAAGGAGATTGGTCTGTAATTTTCAACTAGGCAAGGGTCTCCCTTTTTGAAGATGGGGATGACTGTGGCTTGTGACCATAGGTTAGGCAAGGAACTGGTCCTGAAAGATTTTTCAAAGATTATGCTTAGAGGTTCGGCTATGGCAGTGGATAACTTTTTTAAGAGATAGGCACATATTCCATCCGGTCCAATAGATAGGGATGGTTTTAGATTGCGTAGTGCTTTTTCAACATTGTCTTCTGTAAAATCGATATGTATTAGATCACTGTAGTTATCTGTGGTTCGGCTAGGAAATGCTGGGCATGATCCATTGCTGTTTACAAATACTGAGCCAAAGAATGTGTTAAAGATGTTGGCTTTAATGGTGTCGTCATTGCAGTCTTTACCATTAGGTCCTATCAGGGGTGGGATGGACCTTGAATCTTTTAGTTTGTTGTTTACAAAATTGTAAAAAGCATTGGTGGAATTGGTGCTTAGAAGGTTTTCCTCTTGTTTAATATGATAATTGGTGCATTCGGTCTTTATTTGGTGGCATAAATTTTTGTATCGGCTTTTGAAATTGGCAACGTGACCAGATTTGTTTTTCCGCCAGAGTGATCTCTTTTTGGATTGAAGTTTCCTTATTGTTATGGGCAATCTGTTTTTTTGTTTTGTTTTGGGAGTAGTTGTTGGTACATATAGTTTGATGACTCTTTTGACTTCAAGTAAAAATATGTTGTAATGGTCTTCAACAGTATTGCATCCATTGAATAGAGATTGCCAATCAAGGGATGAGAGATCGTTGTTTATAAGATCATAGTTGCCTTTTTTGAAATTATAATTGGGGATCACATCATTGTGGTGTTTTTTGTGTGGACGTATGTTTAGACAAAAGTCAATCATATTGTGGTCACTGCTGGAAAAGGGTTCTTTAGTTTGTATTCCATAAATTAAATTCAAACTATTGCAGAAGATGAGATCGAGGCAGTTGTTTAGTCTAGTGTTGTTGGATACTAGCTGTTCCAGTCCCAGATTTGTAACAGCATTGTAAAAGGTTGCATGTATGGTTTCAGTTGTACATTCATTTAGGGTCCAGTCAATATGAGGCAGATTGAAATCACCAAGAAAGATAAAAGGGTATGGGCAGGATGCTGCCCATGTTAGTAGTGTATTTAGCTTGTTTACATGTTCAATGTCATAATCAGGTGCTCTGTAACATAGTAAGAATCGAATTGTGATATTTAAGGACAGTTCACAGATAATGGTCTCAGGAAGAGCAAGCTCCTGGGTAACTTGGATATTTTTTAGATGTAAGGACTTTTTGTAGAAGATAGCAACACCACCTCCTCTACGAATTTCACGATCTGATCGGTAAACATGATAGTCTCTTACTGTGGTAATGGAGTCGGGGAGAGATGCATTGAGCCATGTTTCACAGACAAATATAATGTCGAATTTAGCCATATTTAGTAGGAGGAAAAATTCAGGTATTTTATTTACAAGGCTTCTTGCATTGAGTAGCTTGCATTTAAGGCCAGCAGTAGTTGGAGTTGAGGTAGTTAGGGGCGTGCATGCCTAGTCTTGGGTGATGGTGGATTGGTTGAGGTAGGGTTGTGGTTGAAGGTTAAAGCTGAGTTGTGGGATGTGTGACTTACTTTTGATACAGTCAGCATGGTAGTCAATGTACAGGTCCTTCTCCCCATTGTCGAGACGTTTTTTGAGTTCAGTGCGGAGTACACGGGAGCGGGCACGTTGCTGTATGGTTAGGTCAGGGCGACAACGGAGGTTCTTATGGTTGGTGTTGGTTTTGGCGAGTGAATTTATAGTGTAAATGAATTTGCGTTTGCTTGATTCATTTTTGCAAATGACCCTGCAGAAGCGTGGGGTCACAGAGCCGTCACTGTTTTTGAGCTCTCGGCCAATGCGGGAAATGTCAAGTATTTCATCAGGGGAGATGGTTGATGCTTGATAATCACTGATGATGTTTCGGACAGTTGTGATGTCATCATTTTCATTGATGCCCTCTAGACCAAATAAGATGGCGTTTGGACGTTTCCGTTCACGCTCAACAGCCTCTCTGATGAGGATTGGGATATCAATATTTGTCTGGGTTATGTTTTTTTGTGGATTGGGTTGTGGTTGTTGAGTAGAGATGTGGTTTGTAGCTATTGGGTGTTCAGGTTTTTGCATTGTGTCTTTTTTTTTGAGGTTGGATAATCTTTCTATTAAGGCGTCCAGGGATGCTACTTTGGTGTCAAGGGATGTTAATCGTGTTTCAATGGTATCGACTCTTTCCAACAGATCCAGTATGGGTCTGCATGAATTGCAGAGAAATGGAAACTCATTGGATGATTTTAGGTATTGAATCAATTGCTTGGGTAATCCCAAGCAGTCATGATGAGCGTATTTGTTACACAGAGAACATTTGATGGAGTTTTCATTATCCTTTAGAGTTTTGTAGCATTTAAGGCATGTGCAGGAGTCTTGTGGTTCATTGTTGGGGATTAAATTCTCTTTAGGTTGTGGTTTGGCATTGGATTTTTTTCTTGGCATGGTAGGTTTGTTAAGATAGTACGTTGATTGAATTAATTAATGGAACAATTTTGGGTAATCAATATAGCCAATATCACACCAATCAATCAATTGCAGTAATCTCTCTAGTCAGATAATTTCCTAAGCAACAATCAACCTAATCAATTAATTACACTAACTACTAATCAATTAATTACACTAATCATTAGTCACACTGTTCAATTAAATTCACTAAATCACTGATTTTACTAATCAATTAAATTACATGAATCTTGATCTTTAAAACTAGTCAATAATCACACTCTTTGCACTAAACACTCTAATCACAATAATCAATTAATACAATAAATCAATTAAACCATTAATAAAATATTTTATAGAAATTGATTATCTAATCATTGATGTAGATGATGAGGTAGAAAAGTTGTAAGTTTTGAGGTAATGAATTAATGGGTGTTTGATTAAAGTAATGAGGTAGTATTGAGAGTCTTTAAGGAAAGGGTTGTTTGTTTTTCTAGCAGCTGTGATAGACTGGGTAAGAGGAATTTATTGCTCTGAATGCTGCTGTTATTGCTCTGTAAACAAAAGGCTGTAACAGGATGTTCAAAGCACGCTGGGTTTTTGAAAGAGAGCAAAACTCTCTGAATTAAAACACTTTAACTACAATCAGTGTGTCTCTGAATAAGATTGTTTTGTAATAGTTTTCTTCAAGTTGAATAGTACTAAAAAAATAAAAAAATAATACAGTCCAGAGATTTGGGTTAACTAATCCAATCTGTCCTTTACTTTTAAAGTTACTTCTAGTTGCAATACCTTTTTTTTTACTAAATCTGACAGTCACTCCAGATCATTAATCACAGTTATTTTCCTCCTTTGAGTCCCACTTTCCGAGGAAAATTCCACTGTAGAAATTTGAGTGCTTCTAACCAAGACTAAGCACGCTGTTACAAGATCTTTCCTTTCTTTTCACTTCTGTCTTAGCTGACTTACTGATTTTGATTTAGCTATGCAGGCAATTCTCCTTTTAGTTCGGATGGAGGGGTTTTCTTTGTGTCAGTCAAGGAGCCTGTTCTCTCCTCTCAACAACTGAAGCCTTCCTCTGCCGTTCAGGGTAACTTTTGGCTCCTAAGAGCCTCGGGGCTTTCTCCTCCCTCCTTGTTTCTCCCTGCCAGCTGTCCGATGTGGCTCCGGGGAAACTGTGGGGGGGAAATTAATGGAAACGCGTTGTCTGGCGTGGAAGATACTTCTATCAGCTGTGTGAGGGATTTAAATGAAGGTACGTTGTTTGCATTCCTTGGGCTCCAAGTGATCCAGTTCAAGAGCTCCACCAGTGTGGTTAATAGGCTCGATGGAAGAGCTTCACTTCTCTGGGGAGGGAGAGGAGGACTCCGGATCAATTAGCAGGAGCTATGCTAGTATTATTTGGGCTCCACAGCTTCAGAATCCAGCGTTTTTGGGCTTGTTTTTTGGGATCAGGTTTACTCACGGTTACTGGTGCAAGCAGCAGCTTTAAAAGTGATTTCTGGTTCAGGTGGTGGCTTTATAGGGAGATAGTGCTCCAGGAGTGAGAGCTTCACCTTCCTAGTTGGGCGCCGCCATCTTCAGCAATAATCAGCAATAATTTAGCTAAATACAAATCATAATTATTTCAGTGGAGCATAATTCCAAGCATACCATATAATATAGGGATTAGGATAGGACTGGGAAGATCGTGGATGAAGTCAATCTCAGAAAATTATTGGATGACTTTGAGCCATCCAATCTCAATTTAATCTCTCTCACAGAAGCTTGTATGTAAGCAACCTTGAATTACTGTAGAAGAAGGAGCGGGGAGGGGGGAGAAGGGGGAGTGGAAACATTTCAACCACTACTATACTGTGTCTCCCCCAAAGTAAGACTTGGTTTTATTTCCTTTTAGGGCTTGAAAATAAGCACTTGGACTTATTTTTGGGGAGGTCTTGTTTTTTTTTTTAAGTGTAGGAAATAGCGAGCGTGAGGGCCCACTGTAGTTGAAGCACAGCTACTGCTGGCCCTTCCCTTTCCATTCCGGTATCTGTTTGCCCGAGGCTGCAATGGGCCAAGCTCTCGGTATGCCCCGGCCCTGCCTGCTGGCCTAGCTGCTGCCGGGACATTTCTTGGTGGGAATGGGTGCCGTGCTGGCTGCTAAGCAGTTGTCCATGTTGCTACTGGCCTTACGTGGGCTCTTTCCCTTCCTTGCAGGGCAGGTGGAGGCCTGGGCATGCCGAGAGCTTGGCCCCGATTGAGGCCGCGAGCAAGCAGACAGTGGGATGGAGAGGGCAGGGCCAGGGATAGTTGCCTTATCACTTTTTGCCCAGAGCAAGACAAAGCTTTGTCTGCTTGTAAGGGGGATGCTTTGAAACAGAGCTAATCACTCCATTTCAAACAGTCTCCTTTGCAAACCCAAAAAGCTTTCAGTCTCTGTCATTTCTCCATCCAAGCGAAGTGTGTTTGGTCATGTGCTGTGCAGACAGTATACAAGTAATGGGAATTGAAATAGTTAAGTTAGAATTGGGAGCTGTCCCCTTAAGAGAATGCCTCATGGTAAATGTAGTTAATGCATCCTGGGAAATGTAGTTCATGTCATGTGGTCACATGTATAATCCTGATTGGTCACTGAATTGACCCTTGGTTGGGTTGGGGGAGGTTCCTTTACTCTTGCCTGAACCCCAGCAGCATGCTGGTACCTTACCCCCTTGCTCCTTCGTTATGGGATGAAAAGAACACTATTCTTTTACACTATGAAGACGACTATGCAAAGATTTGGACAATAAGATGAATCTCGACATAACTGTGAGTTATACCTTGAGGACACCTTGTGATTCCAATAAAGAAACTTAGTATGGAAGCCTTTGTAGAGTTGCCTCTCTGTCTTTAAATTCAACCAGCCAATTAGAAGACAGAACAGGTCACATGTGGGGTGCTTGGAAACGAAGCAATCTGCTCCATTTCAAAGTGCCCCCTTTGCAAGCAGACAGGGCTGCCTCTCTCTCTCCCTCTGGGCAAAAGTGTACATCAGAGCCAGGTGGAGGCAGAGGCAATCCCAACGTGCTGCCCACTCTGTCTCACCATCTCTTGGCTTGCCTGCAGCCATGCTGAACAAGCACCCACACGAGTGTTGGGATCACCTTCTTCCCTCATCCTCTATGCCTTGCCTCCGTCTGCTGCCGGTGCCATCGGACAACCCTCCCGTGAGCCTCACATCAGTCAGGCAGCAGTGCAGCAGTTCTGGATAACCTGTCTACTCCCCCCCACTGCCTCCATGCTCAGGTTTATCGGTATTTGCGCTGTTCAAGGGGCTGGCAGGCTACGGCTGCTGCCTGACACAGTTGGCCTCCACGCGCTTGCCATCTCTCGTGCTGACCATGCCCATCCCCCTGGGCTTATTTTCTGGGTAGGGCTTATATTAGGTCCATCCCAAAAAAATCAGGGTAGAGCTTGCTTTGGGGGTGGGTCTTATCTTCAGAGAAACAAGGTAGAAGTATTTTTTTGATACAGAAAGTTATGGAGTTTAAAACTAATGAAATATTTAAAATACATTTTTGAGGGGAATTGTATTCTTACCTCATCTTTTGGTAGAAAAGCAGGCAAGAAATCACATGGCTTTCTTGTCACCATATTTGTTTCATAATGGACCAACCGATAATGCTCTCTGTTCAAGAAAGTAGTGATCCATTCAGCTGCTTCATCTCCACAGTCCCTGCCTTGAGTTTGGAGTCCAAATCGTCTAACAGAGCACAAGAGACATTTCTGCAATATCTTGGAAGCTAGACACTCAATACAGTTATTGTTGTCCCAGTATTTCATGTTCTTCCATGCTTCATCTTTCTGTATTCTGCTTGCATATAAAGCAGCTTAATTACCAAACCATCCATGAACATTTAAGATTGCTCCACAAATGTAATTTTAATAATTTAATTTAATAGCTACCTAAAATAACAGGAAAAAAGGATAGAAAGAAAGCCACATTCAAACTATGATCCAGTAAAAACATAAAGACATTTACTGAAAAAAATGCATTCATGAGTATTAATAAAAATCAGAGATAGAATAATTATTTTAGCTCTGAGTATCTTTCTATTATACAAAATAAATAGCACTAAGAAACAGAAAACAAGGTGAGTTGACTTTATAAGCTAACACAAACTCTTCCAAATATTGGGATACCTGTGCTTTGCTACCAAGCTATGTTGTCAGGCTTAATTTTGGGGGAGGAAAATAAGGGGGGGGGGGAAATTCTGCCTCTGCCTATCAGCATCCATCAGTATTCATCTGGCTAGCGTTCTGTCAGTGTGTGAGAGAGTTGAGGGCTGTTTGGAAACTGAAGCAGTATTTGCTGTGTGAGAAAGAAGGAGACAGCAAGGAGCCTAGGCTCAACTGTTCTGTACTAAAGCTGCTTGGTGCTGTGAAAGTAAAACTGAAACTGAAACTCCTCTCCTCTGCTTGTGTTTTGCATTTGGAAAATATTTCTTTTCAGGTGGGGAGGGGGAGTAGAACTCCTTAGCATTAGAGCGTGTTAATAATAATATATGAAATACCAATGCTCTGATGGTTATTTCAAAAAATCCTTTCTTAGTGAGCCAAGAGGAACATACGTTCCAAAATTCAAGTTTGTAGGCTTTACAATTCTGAAGATTTTGTGATGATGCATGAGTGGTATTTTGCTTTTATATAGAGAGATGGAGAATGTGGAAATTAATATGCTTGATTAAAAATACAAATTGGAAAAGTAGCAAAAACAAAAGGACATTTCATAAACATTTTACTACAGGAATTTAGAAGTGGATCAGTTAAGGGAAGAACTCTTATCAAATACATTGTAAAAGGGAATAAAATTCATTGAAATTAATAAATTATTAATGATTAATTTAAATTACTAGTCATAACAATTGCAGAATTTTAATAGTTTGCTAAAATACATTCAATATAAAATGTAATGCATTACTTTGTATAGTATTGAAATATAATATTGAGTTTTTCCCTTTTGTACTCTTGTTGGCGTTTTTTTTTTAAATTATGAATCTGCAGTATTATCAGGAAGATGCACTTTTAAAAACTGAGAGATTAATGAGGGCTGCAGTGAGGAAGTAATGACAAAATGATGTCAGCAAGCAGGTGGAACTTGGTGCCTTTTCTGAGTTTGGGTGGTGTGGAGTTATTTTTGAAGAAAGAGGTTATAAGTTTAAAGGTTACATTTATCTCCTGAATCTGCCTTCCACTCCTATTTTCCACTGCACAATACTGGATTACTGTACCTCTATTATTCAGCAGATTACAATAAAATGATAGACTCTAGAGGGATTTAAAAAAAAAAAAAGCTCCTAGAGCCTACATCCCAAATATTGTAGTCTCCTCACTCTGGAGTATTGTTACTACCACCGGTCTCCAAATTCAGTTATCACAGACTGCCTTTTTATTTAGAAGGCCTAAAAGGCTCTTAAGCCCATAGCAGTGGTGGTATTCAAATATTTTTACTGCCGGTTCTGTGGGCATGGCTTGGTGGGCGTGGTGTGGCTTGGTGGACGTGGCAGGGGAAGGATACTGTAAAATCCCCATTTCCACCACACTCCAGGGGAAGGATATACTGCAAAATCTCCATTCCCTCCCCCACCTCACCCCACTAACCTGCTCCAGCTCTGTTCCCCTGTGCAGGGCAACAAAAGAAGACCCAGCCAATCAGCTGGGACTCGGGAAGCAGTGAATAGATGAGGACGGGGCCAACCAGAGGAGGTATTTACTGGTTCTCCAAACTACTCAAAATTTCCACTACCAGTTCTTCAGAACCTGACAGAACTGGCTGAATACCAACTCTGGCCCACAGTATGATTGTTGGGCAACCAGCATTTTTTATTTTGTTATTCCATTTCCCCCCTCCCCCTCCCATTTTTCTTGATATGCTCCATACAAATCTGAGTGACTGGGGAAATATATGGAATGAAATCAATGGAAAAGATAAAATTTTATCAGAATAAAATTGAAAAACTTGTCAATCAGGAAGCAAGAAAAAAAAATAAAACTTTTAATACCTGCAATTCCAGATTGAATTTGTCTGTGGGAGCTCAAGAGGAATTTGCAGTGTCTTCATTCCTGGGGCATTCAGGATTAAATAGTCATCTTCACAGGATACACTAATTAGAATCATGCGAGGAATGTTCTTAGCTGATATCATTTGTCCATCTTTTTTTATCACAGTCCAAAATCTACATAAGAAAGAGCATATATTGTTTATAAACACCTACATATGAAACTAATAAGCAACAGAAATATACTGCAGCCTTTAAAACCAACTAGACTCAGTGGTATGCTTGACCTGACTGGGGAATTCAGAGAGTCCACATGTACTAAAATTGCTGTAGTTGAGTAACACTGCTCTAGACAAAGAATTAAAACAATAAATCTATTGTAAATCTTGCTAATGATACACTACTACTTGTAGTAGAAAAGAAAGAGAAGAGACCATGGCCTCAGGGAATTTTATCATTTTTTTTCTCCTCAGGAAGGTTGAGTTGGGTTGGGTTGGATTTGGTAACATGTTGTTCTCAATATAATGAATTCTTTCTAATCCAGTGGAATGTTGGAGTGGAATTTTGTAAATTCTATGGCTCTTCGTGTATCTGTCTACTATTCACCAACAGAATCAAACAACACCAAATGTGCTGTGGTGGGAAAAGTTGGCTAAAAAAATCTGTTTAAAAAAAACCTGGAAACAGTAGAAGCTGTCTGTAGAGAAATATTCCAGGGAAAAATCAAAGAGATGCAATTGGTAAAAATGCTGCTCCATTCAAAGCTAGCCACATCAGTCTAACCAGGACATATGCAGCCTATGCACTGTGCTTTCCAGTGCATGCAAACTGAAATGCACCATGAAGAAGACCCTGAAACAGAGGGTTTATTACTAAATATATTAAATATATTTATTAAATATATTACTTGACTATAAGGAAGAAAATGCAAATATTTCCAGTGGTCACTGTTTGTAAAGGATTGGGAAAAAATCCTGAAATAATGCTTTTGCTACATTAAATCTATGGTAATTCTATACACAAAAAGCACAATAAAAGATATATTCTCACTCTTGGGTTTTGCAGCTAGCTTTTCCATAACAACCAAGGCAGCATAACATTATTAAGAGAAATAATGGGCAAGCAAGATACTCTTCCTATTGAAAGAAAGTAGATTTCCTACTAGCCAATGCAATTGGGGATTCCTTCTGAAGAGGAGTAAGGCATCCCTCACACAAATCAGGGGCAAGAAAGTAAAAGAGGGAAAGGTTTGAATTGTACTGTAAAGATACTTATAACAGCAATCAGGATTTCTTCCAAATGCTGCAGTTTTCTTTTCTTTGCCCTAATATTTATTTTTATTTTGCCCAACTTTAAGATGGATGGACTCATATCTCAAAATTCTGGCTGGGAATCTGGGAGTTGAAGTCCACCCCTAAAATTACACAGGTTTGAAACAAACTGCATTAGGCTATCCTTCCATATTCTCAAACTAGTGAGAAACTTTTCTAATACAGTACATTACTTCATTTTTGTCTTGTTTTTTAAACTAGATCCCCTCCCTCCCTCCTTTGGAGTAGTGGCAATCCCTTACCAAGGTCTTGATAAGTGTGGGTGGGATGGGTGGGTGTTACTGATTTGCAAACGCACAAATGCTTAAAGATTACACAACACCGTTCCCCACAACTTGGATAAACAAGCAAGCAATCCAGAACAATCCCAAAGGTGCTTTTCCAAGAGGCAATTGGACTTTCTGGTTTTTCTGGTTTGCTTCAGCTGAAGAAGCTTCTTGAATGAGCAGCCAAACGTCTTCAAAGAAAAAAAAACCCAGAAAGTCCAGCGACCTCTTGAAAAAGCACCTTTGGGACAACTATGATCTGGATCAGGGGTCTCCAACCGTGGCAACTTTAAGACTTGTGGACTGAAGTTGCCAAGATTAAAGACCCCTGATCTGGATGACTGAAAATCTCCACAATCTCTCCGAGGTGCACTGGTTGGTGTACTCCAGCCCCAAAGAAGCGGCCCTTTGGAAAGGGAGTCCGCGCCTCGAAGGTGCCCGCTTTTACGCGGCCAGCTTACCGATCCCGCAGCTTCTCGCCCCGAAGGCCCAGCGAGGTCATCTCGGCTCGCTTCACAGCCACCCCCCGGCAGGATTTGACCGGGTAGATGAAGAGAGCAGCCACCGTCCCCACCAGTTTTAGCCGCGGGCGGCTGCTTCGACGGCTCCGCTGCCAACGCCAGGCCGCCGCGATCCCGAAGAGGAGAGCGGCGGCGGCGGTGCAAATCCAGGCGAGCAGAAGCGGAGGCAGCGGCAGCCCTGAGGAAGGGGAAAGGGCGGCAGAGTCAGCCATAGGAGCGTCCGCGAGGGAGAAGCGAGCCTGCTCGCTGGGAGTGGTTCTCCGTTGGTGACTCTTCCAGGGTGGCCGTCAATCTCCTTCTTTTCCCAATGGCGATGAAAAGCGGAAAAGGAGGGTCTCACTTCTGCTCTTTGCCCAAGCCATATAGGCCTTATGTTAGATGATAAGAGCTTCTCCTTGACCATATCTACACCGCTCTTCTCCTTCATTAGAAGCTCAGGGCAGAAACAGCCTTGCAACCTCTGCCTTTTCTAGGCAGATGGTCATCTCGGTTCCAGGCAGAGATAAAATCAAGTGAACAAAGCAAAATAAGCCACAGGAGTTTGTTCAAGACAGCACTACACTGGTAGGTAGGCTGTCTTTTAAGAAAGGTTTGGGCTCATTAAAAAAGGATTTTTCCAGGAGACAACTGGACTTTCTTGTTTTTTTCTTTTTTTCTTTGAAGACGCTTCACTTTTTATCCAAGAAGCTTCCTCAGCTCTGACAAGATAGTGGGAAATGGAATCCATCCTTCAGAGCTGAAGAAGTTTCCTGGATGAGAAGTGAAGCGTCTTCAAAGAAAAAAACAAGGAAGTCCAGTTGGCTCCTGAAAAAACACCTTTGACCATGACCTGGATAACTTAGAATTTCTACAGACAATTAAAGGATGGTCACTGGCGACTAAATTTGCAGAAGAGTAAGGAAACTGGGAATGCATTGATCCTTGAAAAAAAGAACCATGGGGTGGCGTATAGTTTTTGTGGCATCTGTGACAAAAATTACAGTATAATACACATACACACACACACACACACACACACACGTGTGTGTGTATATGGCATGGCCTACATGCATGTGTGATTACTTTACCAGCATCAAAAGGCTGATTTTTCAATTTAGTATTTCCCAAAAAATATTTATTTTCAAGAATTTATACTAGCAATAATATAGAATCTATGACAATGTGGTTTTCAGTATTTTCCACAGTGATCCACCGACTACAGTTATCACAGATTTGAAGAGGCTAGATTGAACTTGATTGCTGGAATCAAGAAATAATGTAAATGTCGACTGTCGAGTCTGTCCAAGGATGAGAGAAAAAGTAGACAATTTACTTAGGCCCAACACAATTTTTTTTGAATGACTACTATTGTCCAAAATTTAAAATACTCAAAAAGCCAGACAATGTTAGATTTTAAAGTGAAGGCTCTGCCAGGTGGTGGGCATAAAGACAAATATGATGACATATCCTACTTGTGTCAGATGTTTGGTAACTTTAGTTTAAGATCAGATTACTGGAACACAGATTCCAAAACAATGTTAGGAAAAGTTAATCATTCAAAATTATATCTTAAAAATGGACAAAGGTTGGAAAACATATCAAATCCTTAGCACGCTAGTCGGGAAGATATGAGCCAACAATAAGGTGCCTTGCAAGATAGTCTTCCATAGAATAACACAAGCATATCTGATATAAAACTGGGGTTTTATGGCACTTACAGTTTACTTGGCCTCAATGTCTCAGAACTGATATTCTCCTTCCCTTTATCAGGGAGAGAAAAAAAAGCACCATGCAATCTAAAACCATCTCTATCAATTGGACTGGACGGAATATATGCCTACTTCTTAAAAAAGCTATCCACTGCCATAGCCGAACCTCTAAGCATAATCTTTGAAAAATCTTTCAGGACCAGCTCCTTGCCAAAACTTTGGTCACAAGCTACCGTCATTCCTATCTTCAAAAAGGGAGACCCCAGCCTAGTTGAAAATTACAGACCAATCTCTTTATGCTGCGGCACCTGTAAAGCCATAGATTCAATTATTAACCAATCCATTATCCTCCACTTAGAGACAAACAACCTACTCTCTAATAAACAATTTGGTTTCAGAAAAAAACTATCCTGTAATCTACAACTCTTACACTGCAAAAACATATGGACTACACAACTTGATCAGGGCAAAGCAATAGATGCAATCTACATAGACTTCTGTAAAGTCTTTGATTCAGTGGTGCACGACAAACTACTCCTAAAATTAAAATCTTATGGTATCTCTGGACAACTGCATAACTGGATAGAAACATTCCTGTCACACAGACAACAAATGGTCAAAATTGGGAGCGTCCTATCAAATTCTGTACCTGTCAACAGTGGTGTCCCCAAGGCAGTGTTCTAGGACCAACTCTCTTCATACTCTACATAAATGACCTCTGTGATCATATTAAGAGCAACTGCGTTCTCTTCGCTGATGATGTAAAGCTATTCAACACCACCGACAATACTGCTACCCTTCAAAAAGACCTCAACTATGTATCAGAATGGTCAAACAAATGGCAACTTCAAATCTCAACAAATAAATACTCTGTCTTACATATTGGCAAAAATAATCAGAAAATAAAATACAGGCTGAATAGTCAAGACCTTGTTGATGATCCAAACTCTGTTAGGGATCTTAGAGTACTCATCTCTAATGATCTAAATGCTAGAGCCCACTGTAACTACATAGCCAAAAAGGCGTTAAGAGTTGTTAACCTAATCTTACGTAGCTTTTTCCTCTGGTAATATTACACTACTAACTAGAGCATACAAAACATTTGCTAGAGCAATACTCAAATAAGCTCATCAGTCTGGAACCCACATTACGTATCTCATATTAACACAGCTGAGAAAGTCCAGAAATATTTCACAAGAAGAGTTCTACACTCCTCTACTCGTTGCAGAATACCTTATGCCACCAGACTTGAAATTCTAGACCTAGAAAACCTAGAACTATGTTTATACTTATACCTATTATCATATAAGCAATTGACAAATCAAATCAAATAAATAAATAAATAGAGTAATGCCTGCAGCTTGGGTACAACTAAGGCTGATGTCCCATCTCACTAAAAAGGTTGTGTGAAAGTTTCAGTTTGACCAAAGCCAATGGGTGATTTTCCAATGGTGATGAAAAATTTGCGCTAAATTGCCAAGTTCAGAGGTCAGTATCTATATAGCCCACTTGGTAATGATCATCACATATGATAGATTGTAACTGGGAAGGTAAGAAGACTACATGAATCAGGAGGGGAAAAAAGGGATGTGTACTTTTGTATTCACAATGCCATGTTGTTGATTGAGAGTCCAAATTATTGGTATGTAATGTTACATATAAATGATACGATGGAAAACATCGAACACCAAGGTGCAGCAGTTAAGTTCTGCAGGAAGAATATGGAGAGACAGAATGATGAAAGTGATCTCATGGTGACATGATGTAAACCCCATTGCTTTTGCATGTGGATCACAACAGTGCATGCAAGTGCTAGAGAGGCCAAGTTTGCTATACTGGGTGATGTCATGACATTCCGATAAAAGCAGTGAAGTCCTACAGACGCTGGTCCCCTTAAGGTAGCTGTGTTTGGCAGGGAATAGAATAGAATAACAAGAGTTGGAAGGGATCTTGGAGGTCTAATTCAACCCCCTGCTCAGGCAGGAAAACAGTGAACAACTGCAAATTATACATAAATAAATGACAACTTGAGCACATAGATGAATTTCTGTTCTGATTGCTTATGGCAGGAAATGGACAGGCAGATTTTAAGATGAACAAGTGCTAAAAGGTAGTGGATAATAATTTGGTCTGTTTGAAGGAATGCTTATTGAAAGAAGTGAAAATATATGTACAGTGCATGAACACTTCTGCCTGCTTATATTAAAAATGAATATTTGACGGGAGAAATAAAAAATTGAATGGGATATTTCAGTTTGTGTAGTAAAAAAAAAAGAGTTATAAAGGGTACTTACTACATACAGTATATATGGACTGAGTTCCGAAATGGATGAAAGTATTAAAGAAATATATTGAGGTGATTTAATAATAAGCAATGAAGCACAAAACAAATGTATAAAGGAAAAGGGAGGACCAATAAAGATGTAGCTGAATGGAACCGACATGAACAATTTGAACTCCTTGGACCTGAGAAGTGGCCAAGGATCTTGGGACTGGTTCAGCCACCTGCTCTTTAGATCCATGCCCTCCTGGCTTGTTAAAACAGCTCAGGAGATGTTGTGTGAGTAGGTTATAGCTGTGGCTAACCTCAATAAAATAATTAGTTTCATGTACGACAAAGTATCACTCTATCATTTTAGGGAAGCATAGGACAGCATAATTTGAAAAGCCTGGATTTTCCCTTTAAACTCCATGGTACATTTTGCTAATAGTAATATCAAGAATATATACTGCAGAATTAAGGAAGAACACGCCCTTAAAAAGTAACTGCATTCTTGTATCAAATCCATAATTCTATGATACATATAACTTAAGCTTAGTAATCACCCTAAATCAGATTATTATGCAAAATAAGGTTATTAATACTTTTGCAAATATATTCTTTTAATAACTTCAGATAAATAATTACACGGAAAAACGCTTTTACATTTTACATTTTTATTTTTAAAAATCAAGAAATAATTCCTGTATCACTTGCAAAGTTTACATTCAGCAACTTGATAATATTCTTATAAGCAAGAGCATATATTACAAATGTTAATAATTTGATCTCTTAGAAATAAATCACATACAAATTATGATATAAAGTAAAGAAAGCTTATTGATATGTATTTTATCTATCTTTGTGCATAATATAAAAGGGATTAGGAAACATGAGGCCGATCCAAACTTGACATTATCGTATTATAACAAAATCATATTGAAATCAATGCAATTTAGTTCCAAGTAGATAGATAGATAGATAGTTAGATATATAAAAATATTGACTGACAGTGATGAATTTGGAACTTAGAATTACAGAGTTAGTTAAAAAAAAAACCATTAAGGCTATTAAGTCCAAATCCTTGCCTGGTGCTGGAATCCAAATTAAACCAAATCTGACAGATGGCTCTCTGCATGAACACATCAAGCAGATGAGAGCCCCACTCTCTCTCATTTCACTGGTTCCACTGTCAAACTAGTATTGATTCCTTCCTTCCTTCCTTCCTTCCTTCCTTCCTTCCTTCCTTCCTTCCTTCCTTCCTTCCTTC